CGTCGGTGATACTTCTTCAAATATTTGTTTCACTAAAGGCCAATAATCGACGTCATTGAAATGTTCAGAGCACATACGGGCATTAGGCTTAACAAAGAACTTATAATTCATTAAAAGGAGCTCACTTTTATTGCTAGGAACAGCAATTAATTTTGATGGGTTGTTACACCCAAATGTACATCGATAATGTGAGCTTAAGCCTTTTCTATGAATGGACAGATCTGGCAACGAAGAGTAAGTTTGAATACCAGGAGTTCTTTGAACACAGTCGTAGCACAGTCTGCATATTTTGCTGTCCACAGGAATTGTTTCTATAGCTTCCAGTTTTCGTTTTCTAGTATTATAAATAGTTCTTAAATTATTGATAGCCGATAAATTCAGATTCTTGACACAGACAAAATTTTTCATCCTTTGATTTCTTTTTATGCTCATAGCCAAGACATGTCAAAGAGTAAGGCATTTTTTAAGATGAATCGTAGACTGAAAATAATGTAAAAACATATTGGAAAGATAAATTGAAAGGATGATTAGTTAATTACAATAAAAAGACAAAGGTCTTTGACTACAGTACCTGTATATATAGTTAATACTTATTAGTAGTATAATTTATACATGTTAACAGGTTAGCTTTAATTACTTTAACAATGTATCTCAGGAGCTCATAAGATCAACTCTCATATGAAAAATGATTATGGATCTTAATAAATACACATTTCTGTATAAAATTATTCTTTAAGTCAAATATAGAGAAGCTGAGACTCAAATTATCTAAAAGACTAGTTATTGACCTTAACTCAAAAGGATTCTGAGTAATAACATTAAGGTCTGTATACAGAAAATTAAAGAGGCGACCAAATGAATGTCAATGATAAAATTAAGTCCTGTACACAAAAAATCAACGAGACACATTCCTCGACCAATTTAATATTCATTTTAAATCAAGTTCATTTTGAGCTCTGATGATTGCAATCGTTTGCTTTCAATAAATCTACAATTAATTGTAAATTAGTATTATGTACTATACGCAATTGCGAAAGTTGCAGCCATGAGAATCAGTGTTGGAATCTAGTGTATTCTAAATTTAGGACTTTCATTCAGATTCGACCTTCAAATAACCTTGAACCATTCGTAAAGAAGGTCATCTGACCTTGGATTCGGAATCAGCCACCCAAAAAACATAATAATATAGTGGTTTGGTAAGCTACGCGAAAACACTTTTTATTTTGTGAGACTCACTGTAAACCTGATTTATACGGTCATTAGTAATATTTCAATATCTTCTACCTCCTATATCTAAGAAACCAAAGCTGATACCTCCTAAACATTCATCAGGTGCATGTTCAAACGATAAACAACGATTTGATAAACAATTTGGGACGATTCTCGAGGTTGCAAAAACGGGCTATTTTTGGAGTCACTCTTTTTTTTTAATTCGTTGTCTGTTTTGTGAAATAAAACACTTGGAATAATTAGGTTCTTAATAAGTAATAAATTTTTTCCTTTTTTTCTTGCGCATACCGATTGCGAGGATTAAGAATTTAATTGGTCGGCTGCAGCAAGACCAAATGCTACATGCTCTTTCTATTATTAATTCTGTGCAGCACTTAAAAAACATCATATCAATCTTGAGTACGAGTAAACCTCCTGCAGGTAACGCACTGGCTCACGTACTCCACCGTTAAGTTATTAGCACACATAATAATACCAAATATATAAAGATTGCAGTAGTACGCCTTTAATCATCGACAGTATAAATTGCTGCTTGGCTTGATTGCGCACACTACGCTGCTCACGGTTGTCTTTTTCACATTGCCTGCAATATGCCGAAGGAGTCAGTGTTTCTTTGCAATTAACACTTACGTGGCTCTTAGATATCGTTAAAGAAGTTGATAAGGGGGCACTGCTCATCGATCACCAATTACTGTAACAAATGCACCAAGCACCTCCCAGATATCTGCTTCACACGACGCTACAATTTGTCCAGATAAAGGCTTAGTTTGTCGTCCAGGCAGTAAGCTCTGCTGTTATTTAATGTGTGGCCAGGTCTTTCGTTGCTGTGCTTAGTAACATACGTGGTGGGGGTCTATCAACGTGGTGTCACGTTAGCAGAAGCTTGTTTGTGCATGGATCAAGACAGAGGCAGCCCGACAAGCCAGGTGGAATGTGTACTTTCCCTGGTCTGAAAGTTAGAAATAATAGTCTTAGCTACGCCAATTAAGTCAGAGCCCTGAAAGGGCCGATGTGTTTATGGGACGAGAAATAACTGGTATCCTTATTGTAAACCGTGTGCCTACCCGTAGGAATCTCGACGTATGGGTGGCGGTTTTTCGTCTGGGGCCGATTCGCCAGGAAAGCAGAGTTAGTTGCTCTAGAATGTAGTTTAGATGGGTCAAGGTAGAGCAGTTTCAGGATGGCTTCAGAGTCTAAAGACTGTGTACCTGCCTATTCAGTCAGTAAATTGTGCGAGAAGGATGTACGTATCGCAGAGAATAAGCCAACATGATGCATTTGGATGATATATATTTATTGAAAAGAGCCCTAGTTGGATTGCTCCCAAGTCGTCACGACGATAGCCGGGAGATCCAACTGCCTGTAGGAGACTTCTGTCTGCGGCATTTACGTAGTATGACGTTTGTGAATACAACTGTAGGTGCAGAGTTTGGGATCAGAAATTAGGATCAAGCCGGCTGATAGCCGAGCGCGCGTTAGAGCCCTAGTTACTTTTGCCTTTCATGCTTGTTCGTGCAGCATTTGTAAATATTACATAAATTGTAAAGTTTGCAAGCCCTTCTAATAAAGAGACCGTCATTTTTTTTCTTTTAGTTTTGCAGAAATAATAGAACAGCTTGTAGCATTAAGAAGTAAACTAGTATTGTCAACTCTATAAAGATATGTTGAAGAAAATATGAAGTTTGACAAGAATGAAGTATGTACAGTAGTTTTGATAAAAATATACTTCTTGTACAATCCTTTATATATTATAAAATTTTTAAATCTATTCATGAATTTCGATTAATAGGTATCGTTATACGTATGAATTTAAATATACATTTATTTAATATAATATATATAGGCTTCATTCTGTAGTAGTAACATTAAATGATGTGTATTACGATGACTAAAATGTTTTGACATCAATATTTACAATATTTGCATTATCGATATTTAATCTTTTATAGAAAGAACCGTGCGCATGTGCCGATGGAAGGGGAAAACCGCGTACTAGTGTACCTGTCCCCTTCAGGACCATCAAGCCTCTGCTTTCACATCAGACGATGGCCATTCTCGATACGTGTATGTCTGTAGATGTGTGTATGTGCTTAATCAGTGCCTTATATGTATTTGTGTGAGTAGCAGTGAATCTGTTGCAGTATTGGTGGGGAGGAGGGGAGTAGGATGTGTGGAAGAGCTGTGCGAGGTATTTTCTCCATAAATACATACACATGTATATTTTTCTGTACATGTTATGCCGGTGCGTTCTCTTTGCCAAAGCAATACATAGCAAGTCGTATCGGGAAGACGTATTTAGCTCCTATGAGACTCTCAATGCTAACCACAAATTACAAGAGAGTTTGTGACACGTCAAATTGCCGTGTCGCACTTAAGAACTCTCATTTCTTTCCGATTTCTTTTTCCTCAAATATTAAGGATCAACTCTACGTTTTCAGTAAGTCATTAATTACTTGATAATATTTATTTTACCCTTTATAAAATTTCAATCCTTACCCGTACTTCGATGTTTTAAGTAATTAGGTGACATGTTTTTGCCTCAATTTCATGACTGCTAATTAAATTTGCTTTTTGTTTACTCCCTAAATCCTATTCACAAGTCTTAATATGCAGGGGCCGTTACCTTTTTATTGCAACAGTTAATCAACAACTATTGAAAAAATATACATTCAGATATTTTTATTAAAGCAGCCAAATCCACACACTCAAAATTATTCAATGATAAACACAATGAGTTAACGTTTAGTATTAAAAAATCAATACTATTATTTAAAATCTTGTAGAAAAATGAGAAACCCGTTATTTTGTAGTGATTATCATTATGATAAAGGATGATGAGACTTACTTTATTTTATTTTACCAATTAAGTCTTTTTATTTAATATGCATGTCGAAAAGATCGTAAGATTATTCTTACTCTTAAAGATGTTATAAGTGATCTACCTTTTTATGTGAGCTACGATATTTTCATACACTAGAAGTTGTGAAAAGTTTTATTTTCGAAAAAATGAGGTCAATATAATTGCTTCGAGTGTTAATGTTTTTAACGTCGTGAAAATTATTAACTTGTTTAAATTATTGTTTGACGCCGTTACCAGTATTCTTCGAAAATTCCTATGTAATTATCATAAAAAATATTAAGGAAACTTCTTTATACTAATAAAATTTTTTTGCACATAACTCTATTGTCTGGTGCTGCTGCTCATCTGATTTCTAAAATAAACTATCGCTGAGGCTTACGTTTAAACCAGCTGCTAATTTTTTGTATACATGTATTTTTAGTTAAAAAACATACCCTGTACTTGGCACCTTTGTATGAATATGTTTTTAACTTTAGCTATACATTTTTGTTAAACTGTTGAAAGATGATGTATAAATTAAAGTCCGCAAGCAATCGTTTCCTCTAAGTTTTATTCCCGTGAATATTTCTCGCCTTTTTGGTTTTTCTCCCTTCCTTCTTCATTTCTTTTAACGAGTAAAATATGTAGAATGTGATTCTATTATATTCTTGAGATCTGAATTAGATAGGGCAACATAAATATAAGTTTATGCTTATAAGCTGTGAAGAACCTATCAGTGAATATATTTCATAGGATGAAATGATTAAAAGTAAAAATTTCATTTCTTACATTTAGTCTAGTAACTAATAGAATAAACAAACACTAATGTGTTGTGACAATTTTTTTATTTGCATTGAGTTTTGTCATTTAAATAATCTAAAGTTCTCACTAACTCATTAAATTTTACTCACACATTGTTCAATTTGAGTAGATGAACGTTGTTAAAACAACAGCTGGTTTCATAGAGAAACCATTTGGCCGTACACGCTTGTACATTTTAAAACTGTACGTTAGTCTTCTTTCTACGGAAAATGGTCAAGTTCTTGAAAAGTTTGTTGAGTCAGATACATTTGAAATCTTATTGGTAAGTTAAGGCCTCATGATTTATTTGAGTATAATTTGTGTAGTAATACATTTATATTTTCTATTACAGGACTTATTTTTCCACTTTGCTTGGAACAATTTCTTACATACTCAAGTGCAGCAGTGCTTAATAAGCGCTGTCAGTAGTGAATATTCAAGGATAAATAAATCTATCTATCATAACGTAAGTTTTACTTAATATCAATTATTCTATATAACAGAAAAAAAATGAATTTTTATTTATAAGTACATGTATGTATATACTTCGTTGCACCATTTCACCTCATCCCTTACAAATTTTCATTTATTTCCGCAAAATGTAATCAAAATGATCTTTCTATTTTAGAACCGCTTTTTTAAAAAGTACACAGTTAAAATAATGTTTCTTGAAAAAGGTTTTTTTAAAATTAGAAAGGAGCTATATTGTCATTAGCTGCATGCTGAGTGATGTGAGTCACCGATAGGTTATATATTGAATGGAGTCATATAGAAACAGCCAGTTATAGGGGATGAATGCAAAAATAATTTTTAGCCGTAAAATTGGTGACGAAACGCTACAAAAAAAATAAATAAGATGTTTAGTACAAAGTGCTTGTATAGCTCTTTCTTTCATTTCTTTTAGCGTGAGTGGCTAGACTGTAAGTATAGCTGCATAGAAATTGGTTATCATATATTATAAGACAGTATACGATGTATATATGTATGAATATTTGTATACAGAAAACTGCATGGTCTTCACCATAGTGACAATCGTTGACACTATGGCATCCATTTTTTTTTTACCGTGTCACTAAGACAGCTTATAAGCCTAGCCACTGGGACTACCCACTTACGACCTATGTGTGAAAGTGTATTGCTGCATTCATTTTACCAATCACCTCACTAATTCACACCTATTATACCATGGTCATAGTGAGAATATCGTCGATACAGCGCCTTGCCAGTTAAAATGGCTTTCTCAACACCAATAGTAAATCGGGTCCAGTCGCCACTGTACAGCTTTTCTCCAGAAAAGATACTTTATTTCAGGACGTCTACTCCTCGATGGTTAAGATGCCGCTCTCTACTGAAACATCGGATGCAGGCTATTTATTATGCATTAGTTTTAGTGAACGTTTATGTATATTTACATATTTATAATATTATACACAACTCAGTGATAAAAAAACAGTGTAAGACCAAAGATAATCGAGAAAGTTGAAAACATTTATCTCTAGTGTCTAAGACCATGCATTTACAGTTGCACATAACCCCACAACCTTATCAAAAAAATTTCAGAATTTCTATAGTTATTCACAATCTTCTTGGGCAGATCTTTTTAAAGCCTTAAAAAATAATAAAATTAATTGTTAGTATGAAAATAA